GATGGTTTCAGCTTGGGTCTCTTCAAATTGAGCATGGTTTGACCGAATGGCCCCTTGTGATGAGCTAAGAACTGGTTACTTGCTACAAAAGTGGGTTAAGCTGGACGGTGGTGGCACACGCCTTTAATCCAAGCACTCGGGAAGCAGAGGCAGGAGGATCTCTGTGAGTTTGAGACCAGCCTGGTCTACGAGAGCTAGTTCCAGGACAGCCTCCAAAGCCACAGAGAAACCCTGTCTCGAAATAACCAAAAAAAAAAAAAAAAAAGTGGGTTACAGTGCACCACATACACCTTCAGGGCAGACTTAAAATATGTTCAACAACAGCTTTAGGGCAACCTAGACTAACCCCAACCAGCCTTTTTGTCACCAACACCACCTTTTGATCAGCCTTACACTTTGGGTCATTGTTTTCTAGGGCTTTCTTTCCATTTTGGATCACTCACCAAAATTCGTATCACACATCATTAATGAACTTACTTGGTCCCAGCTCTGAGCAGTAATAGTTTAATCATGGGATTTGTAAGGCTGCTCCAAGGGAACACGGCATAGGTGGAAACAACAACTAAAGCCACTGCTGGCCACCAGGTTTCTCCAGATTTTTGTTGTTGTTGTTGTTGTTGTTGTTGTTGTTGTTGTTGTTGTTGTTGATGGTGGTGGTGGTTGTGGTGGTAGTTGCAGTAGAGGCTTAAAGCAGAGAGATCTTTCTTTTGGGACTCTACTTGTTTCCTAAAATTTTCAGTTTGCTTATGTGCTACTGGACTTGAGTAACTCTATTTTAATTCTGATCTGTTGGAACCTAGCTCAGAAACATGATCTAAAGCATGGCCCCCATAATTTGTTGGACATTGCCTTCCCTTTTGGATAGGTTGTCAGCTGGCTGAAATCAGCTGACCCAAGATTAAGGCTTAACACTGCTCTCAGCTCCTCTCCTTTTCAGTTTCCAATCTAACATGTCACTCCTGGGCATATAGTTTCTCATAATACTGCATGTTTTTGATGCTAGCTTTTGGCAAAAAAAAAATTAGTCAATGACTCACTTTAGGTAAACAATCCAAAATCAGGCAGTGTAGAAGGGTGAGAAGTTAAAGCCAAAATAGGAAAAAAAAAATCATTGCATTTCTAGCTTTGGGTTTTTGTCTTTACAGTCAGAGAGATCACCCGAGGGTTGCATGCAGACACTAACACTGATTTTTGAGTCTATGGTAAATGAGAGAAACACTGTTATAATGCTGATTAAATCTAAAACTGAGAGTTTGGATTATGCTCCTTACCCATGGTCCCCAAATGAACTAAAATTGAATAAATTGAAGAACGGGCCAGACAACTTCCCCATTTATTTAACTAAATATACTGTATATTATTTGGCAGCTGAACCTTTATATAGATACCTAATATAGTTATCAATGTAAAGGAAGTGTCAGAAGCCACTGTTGCTTTTTTGATCCAGACAAGATTGCAGTCTTTCCACCTGAGGAATTCTTTTGAGATGCAGAGTATACAAGTATATAAAGTAAGTATATAAATCAGATATCTAGTGACAGTGAATCATATGGAAATTTGTTTGAAAATAATTTCTGGGATAAATATAATTATTAAAGATGAAATCATGCTAATGAGAATATTCTCATTTATTTTTATATAAAATGTTAAAATGGGTGAATATTTGCTATTATAAGACATCAAGTATCTTCGTATTTTTCATAATTGATTGATATTTAGATTTTATAGTCATCAATACTGGAACCCATAAATACATAGTACAAAATGCAGAAGTATGTTTACAGACATTTCAGAAGTGTTTTAAAATTCTATCCTAATTTCAAGCCCAAATTAATTTAATGATTCCTTTTTCTTTCCTTTATGGAACTCAAACCAGCAGTTCAAACACCAGCCTTCAAAATCAAACATTCTAACATATCACAGTCCAAAGACATGGTAATTACATGCTAAGTAATTACACGAGGGCAGGAAAACATTGAAAGCCTTCATGTTCCATCACTAAGCATAAGTGCACCCTGAATGCACAGAAAAACAAGCTGTTACCAGTAACACCCAAAGTCTCCAGTATGTCAAGGCATTTCAGGTAGCATTTGTTGATGTTATGCGACATGATGGCAAGCACAGTGCCAAGTGCATGTCCTGTGTCCAGAACAAAGGCTGCAGAGGTGTTGTGATGTTGTGATACAGCATGGGAAAGCATGACCAGAAATAACTTGGATTCATTTCACGTTTGAGTTTGAATTTATTTTTGGCTGTGGCATGTTTCAGAAACCTTTCACTGTTGCCATTTTGTGCTCCGCCCCCATGCAGTTAGGTAGTCCCAGATGGGTTATGATCCACAACTTAAAAGCTTGATCAAAAGCAGGGAGTGACAGTTGGCTCATTCTCTGCAGAAGCTACTGATGGTGAAATTCTATAGCTAAGGCAGAAACTGCCAAGAAGAGCAAGTCGTCAGCCAAGTGCAGTGAACAAGTGCAAAGGTCTCATCTGATAGTCTGGGCTGTATGGCTTTAGGACAAGCTGCTCACACCATGAACCCAGAAACTTCCCATCCCAAGCTACAGAATGAAATGCCTTTGCTGTCCACATAAATAACAACTGAGATTTTTCTCTAAGTAAATATATTTGCATATAGAATGCAATTAAAATGGGAATGTTCATTTCATAGTAAATAAGCAGTACTTCCAAAGACACTGAGCTATGGAGATATTGAAGACAAAATGGGTAGGATCACAGGAGCTATTTCAAAAAGATATTTGGCAAGGGTGGTACCAGTCTGAAGGTAGACAGACAGTTGTTGGGCAGATGTCTTTGCATAAGTATTATTTGTTACAGTTATATTGGCCTTTGTACCAGGATGTGTTTCTAGAATAAAATAAATAGAATAAAAAGACTTTTTGTGAGTCCTTTCTTAGTAACTTGGAAGTTTATATATTCCTTTGATATGGCTGGCACAATTTGCTTCATTTTCATATTTCAACGCAAACAACCTTTGCATTGTTTAGTGAATCGGTCGTTTTCTTGAACTCTGTAGAGCCTATGCACCTGCCTTGAGATTTGTCCTTTGCAATTTATATGAAGTTGCCCAGCTTTGGTCTGCATGGCTTCAGAATTAGTGCAATTCCTCCTATTCATGCTTGGAGAGATGAAAGATGAAAGGAGTGAATTAAAGAGAACCAGAAGAGGTTCAGAATCCTGTTCAGTGTGTGGGTGGTCCATAAAACTAAAAAAGAATCACGAAAACCACAATCTAATGAAGGAACGGTGGATAGCTTAAAATTTTTAAAAATGTTTCTGTAAACCTAGATAAAACACAGATGTATCATCTGACATCCATTACCAAGACTCAGTTTTTACAGCCACAGCATCAATAATTTGTAGGAACCATTCTCTACAGATAACTCACAGTGCTTCACGGCCTTCTGATGCCATCCATCGATGTCCTTCTCAGTCACATGAGAACATGTGATTTGGTCTACTTCAGAGAAAAAACCCATTTTTGTTCCCACAACAAAAAAATCTATCCCGATATTCATATATTTCCATAAAACATGCTTTGCCTTCCTTATATGACATTTCCTCTGTTTTTCATTCCATTACTGTTTATTAATAGCAATTTCAATCCTAAGCAATTATGCCCTGCCATTATGTGGACAACATTTCTAGACATGAAGATTTTTTGGTTTTTGTTTTTTGTTTTTTTGAAGTGTAAACTTTTTTCTTTTTTTTTTCCTTTGAGTTACAAACACGATTGAATTATATGACAATCCCAGTTCGCTTCTCCTTCCCCTCCTCCCCTACCACTCCCCCAACTAAAACCCTGCCTATCGTATATTCTTTCTTCTAATCTATACCTAACTCAACCTTTCTGCTCCCTCATGACCTCTGCATCCTTTCTCTTCTTCCCTTCTCATTCTCGTCCCCATCTTCCCATGTTCTCAATTTGCTCAGAGGATGGTGACCCTTTCCCCTTCTCCAGGGGACAAAGTTTGTCTCTTTTAGGGTCCCCCTTGTTTACTAGTTTCTCTGGCAGTGGGTATTGTAGGCTGCTAATCCCTTACTCTATGTTGAAAATCCACATATGGGTGAGCTAAGGACACAGTCAGCAAGATAAAACAGCAGCCCACAGACTGGGAAAAGATATTCAACAACTCCACATCTGACAGAGGCCTGATATGTAAAATATGCAAAGAACTCAAGAAGCAAGTCTCCAAAACACCAAACAATCCAATTAAAAAGTGGGGTGCAGAACTATATAGACAATTCTCAATAGAGGAATCCAAAATGGCTGAAAGACACATAAGAAAGTGTTCAACATCCTTAGCCATCAGGGAAATGCAAATCAAAACAACTCTGAGATACCATCTTACTCCTGTCAGAATGTCTAAAATCAAAAACACCAATGACAGTTTATGCTGGACAGGATGTGGAGAAAGGGGAACACTTCGCCACTGCTGGTGGGAGTGCCAACTTGTACAGCCACTGTGGAAATCAGTATGGTGACTCCTCAAGAAAATGGGAATCAGTCTACCACAAGATCCAGCAATTCCACTCCTAGGCATATATCCAAAAGAAGCACAGTCATACAGTGTTCAGTGATGTTCATAGCAGCACTATTTGTAATAGCCAGAAACTGGAAGCAGCCTAGATGACCCTCAACCGAAGAATGGATAAAGAAATTGTGGTACATTTACACAATGGAGTACTACTCAGCAGAAAAAAAAAATGGAATCTTGAAATTTGCAGGAAAATGGATGGAACTCGTAGACATAAAGGTTTTTTGTTTGGTTTGGTTTGGTTTGGTTTTTCAAGACAGGGTTTCTCTGTGTCGCTTTGGAGCCTATCCTGGCACTCACTCTGGAGACCAGGCTGGCCTCGAACTCACAGAGATCTGCCTGCCTCTGCCTCCCGAGTGCTGGGATTAAAGGCGTGTGCCACCAACGCCTGGCTACATAAAGTTTTTAAAGCATGAGATTTTTCACATGTATTAGCAGATCTAAATGCATTTAACTTCCGAATATTATATTCAGATGCTGCTGCAGGTAAAACTTACAATTAAGGATTGATGTCTTTAGCACTTTTAACTAATTTCTTAACTTTCTTAACTTTTCTTTAATATTCTAAGTTATCAAAAGATTTTGTAAACTTTCAAGTGCTCAGTATCACTACCTATGTATTTATATTTAATGATTTTGTTTATTTTTTAGCAATTACCTTGAATTGCTAATGGAAAGCAAAGCTAGTTATCATAAGTTATATTTTTTAGAAACAGTAAATGTTTTATTTTCATTAGACCCCTGAGATGTCTTAAGATGATCTTCCCGAAGATCCCTCCAGATTTACCTGTCTTTCAGCCCCTGCAGGGTAGCTAGGACCAAAGAACATGGCTCATCTTCTTCCTTGACCATACTACCAGTTGTGGCTTTCAGGGCAGAGCACAAAGGATGGTATCAAAATAAAAAGGAAATGTTTTATTAACGCAATAATGACATAGATAATAAAAATAGAACCATAAGGCTGGCATGTGGCTCAGTGGTCATGTTTGCCCAATAAGCTTGAGTCCCTGAGCTCGATCCCCAGCACAGTTGAAAAAGAAGAATGAGGAGGAGGAAGAGGAAAGAAAAAAAAGAGGGGGCAGTGAGGGAGAGACTCAGGTACTTGTTACAAGAGTAATTTACAAAATATTTATATGCAGATTATGTCACAGTTCACTACAGATAGGGAAACCTGTCCTATACAGAGGTAGCTGTAAACCAAATGCCATTCAGCATATTTTAGCATATTCAAATTCCTTTGGACTTTCTTCAGCTGTTTGTTCTTGAAACGCTTCCCTTTGGCTCTCCCAAAGCGCACTGAAGTCTCGCATGGTAATCTGAAAGACCACAACAGCCTTGAACCTGTGGCCCCTGGGCAGCAAATCACCCGAGGTCACAAGCCTCTGAAGTATGGGGCCTTCTAGTCATTCCCATGTTACTCTCTGGCCATATTGACTAATCTAGCTGTAGGGTTTGTATCATTTTATAGTCAAGCCGACAAGTCCTAGCTATTGTCCATGTACAGACATGTTCACTCAGACACATTCCTAACCCTGGAGTTCAAAGAAGCCAGTACCAGCTACAAAACAGCAATACATTGAAGCATTTATTATTATAGTCATTGTTAGTGTTACTATTAGAATTTCTTCTCTCATGTAATATATCTCCAGCACAGTTTCCCCTTCCTCTACTCCTCCATCTTCCATCAGAAAAGAGCAAGCTTCGAAGAGACAACAATCAAACAGGACAAAACAAAATACCTTCAGACAAGGCAAGAGCCTTCTCACACTGAAGCTGGACAAGGCAACCAAACAGTGGGGAAAGAGTGCCAAGAGCAGACAAAACAGTCAGAGACATATTCACTCCCATGGTTATGAGTCCATAATAAACAGCAAGTAAACAGATGCAACACAACACATACACAGAAGACTTGGTTCAAACCCAGGCAGGACTGTGCTCTGCTTTAGTCTCTGTGAGCCAACATGAGCCCTGCTTATTTAAATAAGTGGGCTGTGTTCTCCGAATGTCCTCCATCTTCTCTGACTTCCGCAGGATTCTCCAAGCTGAAGGGACCCATTGGTCTCTCTCTGTCTGTCTCTCTCTCTCTCTCTCTCTCTCTCTCTCTCTCTCTCTCTCTCTCTCGTCTGGCCATGGGTCTATGCACTGGCTCCCATCTGCTGCCAGAGGAAGCCTCTCTAATGGCAACTGGACAAGGCACTGACCTGTGAGTATAACAGAATTACATTAGGAATCATTTCATTAATTTTTTAGACCAATTATGCTTGATTCTTCCCTAGGTCTCTGGTATATCCAGTCTCTGGTTCCTGAACATCCAAGCAGTGTCAGACATAGATGTGTTTTCAAGGAGTGGGCCCCTTGAGCTGCTCTTTGAGCAGCTGCCCCTACACACAAGCAATCTCAAGCTGATGCTATTTCATTGTAGCTTTCTGATTCTTCCATCGAATTCACTTTATAAATATGTCACCATCAGCTGAGCGATGGTTGTGCACGCATTTAATCCCAGAACTCAGGAGGCAGATCTCTTTGAGTTCTAGACTACCCTGGTCTACAAGAACTACTTCCAGGATAGCTTCCAAAGTCACAGAGAAACCCTGTCTCAAAAACCAACCAACCAAACAACAACAACAACAACAACAACAACAAAAAAACATGTCACCATCTCCAAGAACATGTCGAGTTTACAAACTTATTTTGGCAGCTTTGTCTCCTGGCTTGAAAAAGGGCCAAAACACCACACACACACACACACACACACACACACACACACACACACACACACGCTTTGAAGCATTTTACCTTCATAGAGACACTGATGTGAGGATTTTAATTATAAAATTGCCATGGATCATTAAATTCATTCTGTAATTTTAAAATAAGGGTTTTTTGTAAATATAGCAATGAGATGTTTAAAACAACACAAACAAGAAGACGATAAAGCACAAACAGAAGTTGCCAACATCACTGTGATGGCCTAAGTTTCACATGTGGGAGACTGCTCCCCAGTGTGAGTGGATTGCAGGGTGATGGAATGGTGAGAAAGTAGCACCCCGAGAGGTGAACATCTCATCAGAAGGTCCTCAGCTCTTCTCAGGTGGGTTTTCCTTAAAGAGTAATCATTATAAGAAAGCCTGACCCATCAGTCCCTCCAGCCTCACGTCTCACTATAGGATTTCCTCTGCCTTCGTACACTCCTACCGTTGTTATGCTCCCAGCCATGAGGCATTGACAGAACCCAGAAAAATCCACTGCCAGGCTCTTGAACCTTAAGACCTGTGAGTTACATAAATTTATTTCCTTTAAAATTATCCTGTCTCCAGTGGAACCAGTGTTTATCCCTAGTGCACAAATGGACTTTGGGAGACCATTCCCTATGAAGGTATACTCCCTCTGCCTAGACACGTGGGGGAGGGCCTAGGCCCTGTCCCAAATGATGTGACAAACTTTGATGATCCCCATGGGAGGCTTCAACCTCCCTGGTGAGTGGATGGGGGGTTGGTGGGGGACATAGGAGGATGAGAGGGAGAGGGAATTGGGACTGGTGTATAAAATAAGATTGTTTTTATTTAAATTTTAAAAATAGGAAATAAAGTAAAATAAAATTACCCAGTCTTGGATATTCTGTTTAAATGGAATAATACCCTGAGCGGATTATTCATAACTTTTTTTTAAGGAGACACTGAATTAAAGGAGCTAAAAGCAGTATACTTTTAACTTTCTTGTACCTTTTCTCATGCATATTGGCTTCTTTTTTTTAGTTTTAAAGTGAGTACCTCTCACATTCAAGGTATTACAATAGAGACCACAATGAAAATATGAAGGAAATGTAAGAAGAAACAGCAGATACGCCTATTTTCTGGCTTTGCATCTGCTTATATGTGTGTGTATCACTTTAAGAAAAATGGGAAATTTTCAGGGAGAGAATAATGAGATTTTTCAGAATTCTCACTCGTCAGAATGCCACAGTATTTGACAATAGTGACCTCCCAACTTTTGACTACATACTTTCCATCAAAAATTAGCATAAACTATACATATACATATGCATGTAAAGTTTACATATACCTTATGATACTGATACTTTACTGAACACATATAGTATACAAAAAACGGATTTTTATGATGATAGAATCAAAATATTAGAAAGAGGATTGCTGGCATATGGCAGTAATCTCAGAATTTAGAAGGCTGACCCAGGATTGCAAGTTCAAAGTCAGACCCTGTGTCTAAAACATACACACTCTTAGAAGCTCAGTTTTTTAATACAAAAGACTTCACTACATACTTTGCAAGTTTTCTTTGTATTCTTTGGAAAAGTTAGAAGGAAGACAAAAGCCCCTGAAGTTTAATTTACTAGTGTTTTCTCTTGACTGAATAGAAAGAGTGGAGTTGAGGAGCATGGTTTGGAGGTAGAATAGAATTAAGTCAAACACAGTTTTACCTTTGTATGTAGTACTAGGCAATCATAGTATTTATCATTAATATTTATCATAAGTATAACAGACCCTTTCACAGCACTTCAGTCTTTCTTTCTTGTTTTGTTGTTGCTTTAGCTTTAGATGTGTTTTGCTTGTTTCTTCCTCTGGGTCAGGAATTTGGGTACCTAGTAGACCTGTTCCATTTCCACAGCGGCGTTGAGTCTGCTGCCTCACACTTTTCTGCTTAGTCTGACAACTTCAAAGTCAGCAGAAGAAACAACTTGCTAGCCGTGCTAAAAGAAAATGCCTTCCTTTAGCTACCGACAAGCGCCGATTGTCATCTCGCTGAGCTCTTAGCTAACTCACAGGCATCATGGCTCTCATGGACAGTAGCTTAAATTGTTGAAATGAGCAACGGGAAAGGACAAGAACAGGGTTGCTTCCCAAACAGAAGATCTACCAGAGGGTGTGTGATCTCCAGACGAAAAAGAACTCCATGAAGCGTTTTATCCAGGGAAGACTTGAACTCCTGACGGAGTAAAAGTACTATCTACTTTCTGTTTAGAAATGAACCGGAAGAGGGGGTCGTTAATGATATAATTTATTTCAAAGATCCCTCCCTACCTGAGAGAAAAGGGGGGAGGGAGGCGTAGGAGAAGAGGGAGAGGAAACCGAGAGGCGGAGGAGGGAGGGGAGGGGGTCAGAGGGAAGGGAGGGGCAGAAAAATAAAGTCAGAAAAAGAAAACGCTTGGCTCTCTATTTCACTGTGTGTTTCTGAGATGACCTAGTTCTTCAAGAAGAAAAACCCAACCCTGCTCTGTGCCAGCAGCACAAAGCACACTGTTGGGGGGACCTCCATCCCACTGTAGCTGGGGCACAGCTCAGCAGGACTTGCCTTAAATCATTTTTTTTTTTTTAATTCTGCTGGGTTTGAACCTGAATAAACCAACTTCGGCAAAGACTGATAAAGAGAATCCGGCCTGGGGGCAGGCAGCACTCAGAAGCAGGCTGCTCTGAGCAGGCAGGCTTGGAGTCTCCTGTTAACGCTCTGTGACTGGGACACAGCTGGCTTTGCATAAGGACATTAAATATACAGCACCACAGTTTGGTCCTGGGCCCGGCCTCCGGCTGGTGGCACCTGGCCATTTGTCTCCGCCAGCCAAGGCCTGGCCCTGGTTTCCACGATACCGGGAATGCCTCACAGTTCGCCTTCACACCTGTTAGGGGTTCTCCACTCCTGCCACCAACCCAGCGGGAGCCCCCCGCAGCACTCGCCCCGGGTGTGCCGAGATGGCCAGAGGGGACCTGGCGGCGCGCTGGGCCTTTCGGAACCGACCCCTGTAAGCCCTGGCAGGGGAGGCTGGGCGGGGCGGGAGCCCTGGAAGGCGGGAGAGGTCGAGCCGGGCCGAGAGGGGTATGGGAAGGGCCGGGGGAAGGGCCGTCT